AGTCCTTCTAGTTTCAATAAATGAACTAATTAGTTATTCTCGTTTCAAAAACTATTATTTATTTTTTTAACTAGTATTGACTATGTTTAATTTATATTATTTTTATTTCATAAAATGTTTTCTTTTCTCATTAATTTTTCTATTTTTCTTTTTAAAATAAAAATAAATTGAGAAGAGAAAAAAAACACAAGTTACAAGTAGATTTAAAAATATAACAAATAAATAATTACTTTTAACACAAGAATGATTAATTAATTTATTTTTTAAAATAAAAACGACTAATTTATAATTTACTCATAATGTTTTTGGTGTAGTTGAAAAAAAAACTCTTTTTGTTGAAATTGTTTAGGAGAGGGTATGCCAATATTTTTTTGTATTTGATAATAATAAATATTTTATTAATGACTTACATATTAATAAAAACTAATTTTTTTAAATAATTTCTTTTTGGTAAATAATTTTAAAAATGCACATTTCAAAAAGCACTTTTCAAATATACCTTGTGCATCCACAACAATTTAATAAAATTTTCAAATGCAAGCTCTAAGGTTTGGATCTAAAAAGGCAAAATAAAACAATCTTTAACCGTAAGACTAATCCTTGGACTAGTATGCTAATACTTCAATTCAATCGAAACTATAAGTTGAAATCCAGACTCACTCTCTTTCAATGAAACTAGAGAGAGAACTTTAACTCTCTTTTTTTTAATAAGAGATTTCTCCTCCTCTCCATCATCAATCTTAGTGTAACTAGCCCCTCCCCCCATTAAAGGGTAAGTGGAGCTAATTAACTACTCCCCTCATTCCATACGAGTAGTACTCTTATGGTTCTTAGGTCTAAAATAAAGTTTGTCACTTGTATCCTCTTAAAGCTACGAGGAGGATCTTGTAGATTGTGCAAATGGTGGCTTAATCTTTAGTGAGAAAGCCTTGTTTTTCTTGTATTTTTATGTTTTGGTTTGGGTGGTTAAATGGATAGATGGTGGTGGGAGTCTCGTGAGAGCTAGATTTGGTTGGTCGGTGTTAGGTTTGGTTCTTATAGTTAGATTGAGTTAGAGATGATTACGTACTATTATCCGACTTATTAATTTATTTTTTTATCCTATCCATTAAAAACATACCTTATCCATTAAGAAATTACTATATAATCTTTACTCGATCCATATCATGTTCACTCTTAGTTTATCCACCTATTTAGTATTCATTTAATACCGCTCAAAATAATTTGCCAAATTATTTCATTCTAGTCTCAATAATTTAAAAAAAAAATTTGGTCTTTAAACTTATATTTTTTTTCACATTTTGGTCCTTTATTTATAAGTTTATTGTCCTTAATTTTTTTTTTTTGATATTTTGATCTCTAAATGTTAAAATCAGTACAATTAGATCCTATTTTTTTAAAAAAATTATATTAAATTAGTAGGGTATGAAATAGATATCCATACTCTAAAACTATATTAATGGGTATATATTTTTTTTATTCTTGCTCATTTCAATATCCATTGAATATTTATGATGGATATTTATTGTACTTGGATAAAGCAAATACCCACTTCATATCTCACCATTGTCATTCCTAGATTGGGTTGTGGTTTGTGATGAATGTGAGGCTTGTATGGGTAGGTCTTTAGGTTTGGATGTGACAGATGGTGTAGTGTGGCTCTTGGAGGAAATATTTGCCGAATTTACTACTAACATTTACAAAGTCTTAAAGAAGAACACATAAAGTTTTGGGGAATTGGAATGCTAATTGTCTTCGATGGGACCGCCAATTGATGAGGAGGGTAAAAAATAAACCCTAGTTGCTCGATCAAGATTGGAAGACAAAAGTAAGACTATGCTTGACTATTTGATCATCTTTATTCAAACCCCTTAGCGAGATTTTAGTAACATTAGTTTGTTGCTAGAGAAGAGAAGGTTGCCATTAGTTTTTTAGTTTTTAAGTGTTGTTTGGTTACCAAAAATGAAGTGGTGGAAATAAAAATAAAAATAAAAATTTTATTCCTACCTTGTAACTATTGAGTTGAAAGAAATGAAGTGAGAATGAAAAAAAAATATAAAATAAAATTAAACACGGTTTCATTTTTATGTGAAAAGCGAAAATAAAAACAAAGAATGAGAATAATTTTTTTCTTTATTTTAAAATAATGATATATTATTTTAATTTATTGTATATCAATTATTTATACCACTACCACCACTACCATCACTTCTATTAGCGATGGTGATAAAAAACTACTTATTATTATTATTATTATTCCATTTATCACAACTACAAGCATCACTACTACTATCACCTCCATTGGCAATGATGATAAAAAAAGTTTTAAAAAAAAGTTATTATTATTATTATTTTTCTATTACCACTCCTCCTTAATCATCATCGTCTTTTTGTTATACCATCACTATCATCACCATTGATGATGGTTATAAAAAAATTATTATTGTTATATTGTCACCATATTTCTTTAACTATCATTATCAATTTTATTATACTTTCACCACCACCATTATTGATGATTGTGATTAAATTATTATTATTATTATTATTATGTCACTACTCATTTTCTACCACCACCATCATTTTTTTTCTATTGTCACCTTTTATAATGATTATATCAATTTTTTCAAAATATATTATTTCTATTATTATATTGTTATTACTATCACCCCTTTCATCACCATCACCACTATCACTATTATCACAATTACCTCTATCATTTTTATTACCATCATAGTTGATAAAATTATTATTTTTATTATTATTTTTATTTATATTAAAAACTTGATATTAAAAAGATTTAAATTTCATTCCAATTCCGTATTACGATTCTAAATACAATATATAAATGCAAATATCATTTCGATTTGTTAATTTTTATTTTGAATTTTATATTTTTATTTCAGATTTTTCATTTTTAATAACTAAACGGCACCTTAAGGTCATATCAAGTGCATTGGATTTTGAAGGTTTGGTTTCTTTTATTTGCTTGTTTGGACCAATTTTTTATTTTTTGCTTTCTAGTTCTTGGATTTTCGTTCCAATAGTATCGTAGAATCTATCTGTGGAATCTTTTTTTATGTCTCTTAATATGAATATCGGTTATTTATCGGTTATTTGATAAAAAAGAGAAAAATAAAATAAAATAGCTGCAATGTACACGAGACCATTGCCATCAAATATTTATATGTTATGATATTTGGTCAACACGTTGTTTTTATGTTTTACGATCTGGTTAATTTTAGGACCGCAAATACGTCCGGGGAAGGCATGGCACCCCAAACTTTGGAAATTGAATTTTATATTTTAGTCTTAATATTTAATTTTTTTTTAAATTATACTCTTCAATTTTACACGTTTTGCCCCCAAAAAATCAATTACTTTCTTATTCACCTCCAGTCCTAAATTGCTAGTTCCACCCTGTTGCCTTAGCCACCAAGCTAAAAGCCTGGCTGGTTAGGAGACTGTATAGCATTTTACCCATCAACCTAGCTCCTTAAACTCCTTAAATTTTGGTTAAACCTGCTTCGAGTAAGGACTAATATTGAGGCATTACAAACGCTCTGGACTAGCTGTGCTTGAAGCATCCATGAGGAACCATGGTTGCTCCAACATTTTCTAGTAGTCACTATAATCCATGACATTTGGTATATTTTCATATTGGTCCTAGTAATATTATAATTTGGCCCCTCCAAAAATATTGCTTTTTTTTTTTCCATCGAAATCCTCTTAAATCTAATTAACTTGAAGAAATTTCGCCATTGCAGACACTAGCATGCATATATATATATTCCCCCAGGTATTTCAGTGAAATTTAATTGCAAAAATTATATGGGAATTTAACATTTAGATGTCATTTTGGTTTGTTTTAAAATTATAAGGATCTCAATTTTTTTAACCTTCTCATTCTTCCTTTTTATAAGAAAAGTGATTTCTTAGCGTAATCATATATAGGAATATGGCATTCTCAAGTTTAAGAGAAGTTATTTATTTTTTAATTTTTATAAAAAAATATGCATACGTACATACATATATTCATATATGCATAGACACTTTAATTAGTTGTAAACACAAAAAATATCGTCAAAAATATTTTATAAAAAATTATCATTTATTAATTTAAAATTTTGTCACGTATATTGTTAAAATGTTAATAATGAAAAAATTAACATGTATAAAAAAAAAAGCCTAAAAGGAAATATAATACAGGTAAAATATATATCTTAGGAAGGGCACATATATATTTGGGGACAGTAATGAACACTATCATTAACCAAACTCGTTTGGGGCTGAGAGTTAAAATCCTTATCAAATATATGTACTTACTTGATACTTATTTTTGTTCTATCTTGTTCGCTGCCATCGCCATCCATGCCTTCTAATTTTCTTTGGAGTGCCTTAAACACCAAAGTGAGATTTTCTATAATAAAAAAATTTAGAACATAAGGCTTGCACCTACAGCTTCACATTAATTTGGACCGTTAATCAACCTTGCTAATTGTCAACCTGAATTGCTCGTGAAAGAATTATTTACAAAAGCTTTGTTCCTGAATATTCTTGTGTTCTCTATCTTCTATTATTACTTACTTTGATAATCAATACAAAAAAAGAGATTTATTATTTATTTATTTTTACCGTAGCCCCTGGTCGAGCCGGTGAGCCCAAGAACAAGCGACTCCTGCAATTTGCAGATGGCCCAATAACCTGAGATAATCATACTATTTTTCAGATTATATTATATTATATTAGATTAGATTAGATATATTCTGTGTAGGATTTGCATCAGGATAGAATTCTTTTTATAGTAGAATCGGTGTAGGATTCTGTTTATAGGAGATATTCAGTAACAAATTCGGATTTGGTTCCACAAACCTTATGTCGGACTCTATTTCCTCAACTCTATAGGATTCAGCTTCATACTACTATATATATTAGGCCTCTCTTTCTTTTTCTTCTTCGATAGAGGACAACCACTAGCAATCTTTTGTTGAGTTATAAATATGGCGACGAGGTATAGCTCCAGGTTACGAAAGAGAAAGTGTGTTGAAGAAATATCACCCATACTCGCACTACCAGCTGAAATCTTCATCGACATTTTTCTAAGCCTCCCTGTCGAGACTATAATGCAGTGCAGGTCGGTTTGCAAAACTTGGCGTGACTTGCTTTCAACTCCTTATTTTGCACACCTGCACTTTTCCAAGGCACAACCCAGAAGCCTCTTGTTTTTTTGTCCTTGTTCAGGCATAAAAACTAGCAAAAAATCTAAGCGATTTTATTGTGATATCCATAGTCGTCGTAGCAGTAATATCAATGATGCCACGGTGAGCACGCCAGCGAAACTTAACCTCCTGAAATTCACCGATCATGGCGAAGTTGTGGGTTCGAGTAATGGCTTGCTTTGTATTTCGGAAATTGTCCGTAAGAACAAACTTTACATCTGCAATCCTCTTACAGGAGAATACGTTGAGATTCCTGGACCAGAAGTAGAGAAAGGATGGCATGCTTCTAAACCAATTGAGTTTTTCTATAGTCCACAAAAGAACCAGTACAAGATTCTAATGTATAGAGAAAGAAAAGGTCATGGCTTTCAAAAATCAGGACAGATTTTCACACTTGGAAGCAATTCTTGGAGAAATATTGATATCCCAGAACACCGTAAGCTTCACACAGCTAAGCGATATATAAGCTCTTTTGACATGGAGAATGAACAAGCCCGGAGTATTGCAGTTCCTGATCATATAGACCTGAGTACTGCCTGTTTAGTGGTGTTAGGGAATTTTTTGTGTTTATATGATAATGGTTACCCTCAATTTAGCATATGGCTGATGAAAGAATATGGAGTTGAGGAGTTTTGGAAACATTATGTTGTTCAAAGATCACCAAATTCTCATTATAGACCAATTACAGTAAAAGAAGATGGCAGCATTTTGATGAAACATAATTCAACGACTTTGATTTCATATGAACCAGAGACAAAAAAATCTAGAGCACTGTATCAGTTTGGCCCTACAGGTGTTGTTCTTCACACTCCATCCTTTGTTTCCTTAAAAGATCTTTTGATTGGAGGCTGCTGCAAGGTTCTTAATGTTAGGGACAGGAAAAGACGCTCAACAATTAACATTCTGGAGTTCTAGTTCTATATGTTAGCTTTATTGGCATGTAACGATATAAGTTTCAATGAGTTTTTCAATTTTTTGTTTGTCTTCTGCCCATGCTTATATATATATATATTATTTTTTTGTTAAATATGGAGTCTTGGAGAAAACATACATAGTGTTTCTGTTTCATCAGTTTATGTTCTGCCTTCACATACAATGAAAGAAGATGGAAGCGTTTTGTTGTTCCGTGAGATCGGAGATTAGCTTTATTGTCATGTAATGATACGCATTTCGATAGTTTATGAACTCTTCAATTCGTTTTTAAGATATTTCTGCTAAACTTTTACTTGATGTATTCATTAATCAAATCGATTCTAAGAATTAGGGCCAAGTGTATATGTGTCGCTACAGTCTATGTTGATGAAGAAGCTCTCGAGGCACCAAAATCTCAAATGAAAGATGGATGAAATATGATTTGGAATTATATCTGAAACCAATCAGAAAAATAAGATGTTAACTCAAATTTTGACTTTTTCTCCACTAAAAAAAGTCAACTCCACGAAATATCTTTTGATCATACAAAATGAGAAGTTAATCAGGCTCTGGATATAAACTTCGGGGCTTGGCACCCATTATTCATTCAGCTGGACTTAATTTGAAAATGATCCAACGAAGAGAAAATTAAATTGAAGCATCAGGTACTGCGAGAAAGACTGATTTTTTTTTTATTTTTTATTTTTGGTTCTGTGATGTAAGGTAATGTGAGAAGCATCAGGTATTTGTAGATTAGATGGTGTTCTTAACATCACTTAAAACTAAATATCTTTATTGATGGTGTTTTTAACAATCCTTATTAACTATACGCCAGTTGATTCATTTTCTGACACTTCCAAGATTGACCAATTGAGATAAAAAAATTTCTTCAAGAAATCAATTAAGATTCGGGTTATAGTTTGATGACTAATTTGAATTTTTTGGGAAGTAAGCAATATGGATATTGATAGATGGATTACAAAAGTTCATTGACGCGAAAACATGTGGTTGATAATTAGTAATTAGAACAAGTTGTGAAAACTAAGAAGATGAAATTCATTGACTTCATGTTGATACAAATTTCTTCAATGTAATACAAGATTACTTATTCAATATCGATCTTAATTATCAAAAGTTATAGGGACCGGAAGGTCATCATGCCTTACGTACACTATTAATTATTACTGTGGCCATTGCAATTTTTGGCTATACAAACGAAACCTAAACACTATATATTATTAAATATAAAACAGAGAGACAAAAATGCCTACATATATATTTTTTTTGGTGGGAACTTACATGGCGGTGTCAAAATCATAGGACTATATATATATATATATAATTGCTACTGACCTTCAGCAAAGTTAAATTGCTTGATGGATCCAGGCCCTCCATCTCCTTCAACAAGAACCAAACTCTCCATAGTCCCTGGTAAACCCTTGAGGATGAGCTTGTCAGCATCAATTAAGGGCAAAAGCTTTTAATATTTTGGCTGGAGGGATTGAGTAAGCAATTAATCTTCAATTCACTAGACGAAGGAGAAGCAGGGATGACTGCTATTTCTAGATGGTGACCCAAGCATCTGCCATGATATGTTCAAGTTAAAAAATAAAAGAAGAAGACGAAGAAAAAGACATGCCCCATCAGCCCATGGCATGGAAAAGGATCATTCTAGCTAGTATCGTATAGTAAATACACTACGGCTTTGGAATGAGAAAATGAGAGATCTAGTGGTGCCACCACTCAGAAGTCGATATATATATATATATGTTCAAGTTAAAAAATAAAAGAAGAAGACGAAGAAAAAGACATGCCCCATCAGCTCATGGCATGGAAAAGGATCATTCTAGCTAGTATCGTATAGTAAATACACTACGGCTTTGGAATTAGAAAATGAGAGACCTAGTGGTGCTACCGCTCGGAAGTCGATATATATATATATATATGATGAAATACTTGATACTTTGATGATTAAAGAACTTGTTCACAAATTAGATTTTGTATGATTGAGTAATTTATGTTTAAAAGGCATATGATTTTGTTTTTGATATTTGCTCTACCTAAATCACACTTCTGATTATATATACTTTGGCTAGTTAATTTGGGTGATTTTGAGTTTACATTGAATGTTGGAGAATAAAAAATGTCCTACATGAAGGAAAAAAAAAACAAAAGGGACCATATTGCAATAATTGGGGAATCATTTTGCTGTGAATTGGGCTAATACTAAAAAAAAAAAAAAAAAAAGGTGAACACTCTAAGAAAGAAGACTGAGAAGCCCATGAAGCTAACAACTAGCCCAAGACCACGAGAATTCTAACATTGAAGTACTGGATTGAAAAATGCATATACTTGAGGGATTTGTATTTGTTTTTTTTTTTCTTTTATCAACCAGTAATAGTATTTTTGTACCAGTTTTGAAGGAGAATTTGTATTTGTTACAAGCTTTATTTAGGGCTTGATTTAAACTTTAAGGGCATGATTGAGACAGCATTTAGTCTTAAAACCAAATTGCACCCAAAAACCTTAGGACAAATAAGTAAGGAGTCAACGTATTTTGGGCTCCAAATTTTCACTCTAGCAGACTAAGGTCATCATCATCAATCAAGGCAGGTAAGTCTCTCTTCACTTCATAAAATCTCTGTTGACCTCCATAGAATTTTTCCCTGTTTTGTAATTTTAATTCTAATTCTATGTACAAATTGGCAATCTGGGTTTCTTTTCTTCTTCTTCTTCATTTTTATTTGTTTAAATTGCATTTTTTTTTCTGATTAAAATTTTTGTTATCTTCACTGAGTTATTTCCTGAAGAATTCGACATGCTATAATTGATTTGACGAACTGGGTTGATGACAGATGTGAATAATTTTATTATCAGAATATGCAAATTTGGCATTAAGATTAACTGGGCTAGTAATAGATTTTGGAATTCTTCCATTCCTAGAAATTGTATTTTGAAAATTTTTTGTTAATTATGTCTGTTCGTGCTGTTACTTCCTGTTTTGACAGTTAATCTGCTTATTATTTGTCTGCGTCCGAACCGTTCTTCCATTTTTTCCAATGGAAGGCAAGAAGGAAATAGACGAAGCAAAAGAGAAACCTGTTAATATGGGTTTGTCTTTGCAGTGGAGCCAGTGGCAACTGCTCGATTCGATTCTTCCTACTGGTGGGTTTGCTCATTCGTTTGGTATCGAGGCAGCTATTCAAGCACGTGTAATATTGAGTCAGGAAGACTTCCGAACTTATGTTATTCATGTTTTGGAGAACACCGGGAGCTTGCTTCTTCCTTATGTGCACTCGGCAGCAATGTGTCCGGATATGGATAACTGGCGGAAGCTTGATAGAATGCTTGATGCTACTTTAACCAATGAAGTAAGTCGAAAGGCGTCTGTTTCGCAAGGATCGGCGCTAATGAGAGTGGCTGCAGCTGTGTTTACCGAACTCCCATCTCTTAAAACTATGAGGGAGATGTCTCTTGGTTCTGGGATTGTTGCTTTTCACCATGCTCCTGTCTTTGGGATTGTATGTGGGCTTCTGGGCATGGATAGTGAAACTTCTCAGAGAGCTTACATGTTTATCACAATGAGGGATGCGTTTTCAGCTGCTACAAGACTGAACTTGGTCGGACCTCTTGGTGCTGCTGTGTTGCAGCATCAGGTGTCTATTGTTGCTGAAACCATGCTAAAAAGATGGCTGAACCGCGAGGTTCAGGATGCATGTCAGACAGCACCTTTGCTTGATACTTTACAAGGATGTCATGGCTATTTATTTTCAAGATTATTTTGCTCTTGACGTCCTAGGTAAATGTGCAATTCTCTCACCAAAATGAAAGTCTGATTCATTTGTGCCATTTCTCATGCTATGATGCTTGAGCAATCAGTCAATGTCCGGCAGAGAGACGACAGTGGTTGAGGCTTTTTAACAATTTGTACATGTCAGGCCACAATAAATATCAACAGAATCATCTTGTGCTCAAATTGGGCATACATGCTCTTTCACGATTAGTTATTAAGCCCAAAATTGAGAAGAAGTTTCTGATACTGAAACAGTTTATTGTTCTGTAAAATGAGCAAATTTATTGTTCTGTCATTTGAGGAACTGTCTCTTACTGATGTTTTCGTTGCATTCCACTTCAACATTCATCACAGTTTGTTAACATGTAGAGAATTGATAGCTTTTAAAACTTACCTACAACCTAGAAAAGGAAATTTCTTGTCTCACTCTCTCCCAGGTTCCATTTCTATCAATAAACTGGTTTAGTAGGATTATTGCTTTCTCCTGGCCATTATTGTTTTTATCCAGAGAGAGAGCTTCACTTTTAGCCATTAATAAATTTGTGTTTGAGACCAGAAAGGTCACCCACTGTATATGCTTTGCCCATCCTAGGATTGTAAACAATCAATCTTTCAACATCATAACATGGATCAATAGTGGGATTTAAGTTATTCATGGAAACAATACCTTTGCTCGAGATTGCCTCCAATAGCGCATTAGTGGATCCAAGTCCTTAAGAAACTGTTTCAGTGGCTCCATCCAGTAATCATTAACTGTTGTGGTGGTGACTAAGAGACAGAAGGATGACATTCTTTAATTTATTTCTCAGCTCTGTATTGTTCATTTATTTTCTCCAGTTACTGGTTCAAGGAGAAGAATACCATTGGAGAAGTCTTCACTTGTACATGCATAATTTAATGTAAAAGCTTGTTATTGCTCGTATTAGATTGTGATGTTGCTCATGGGTATGGCTGGATTTACAGATGTAAAATGAACAAGTGCTGCTATATCTGTCAATGTGATGCATATGTGTGTGAATGTTGTTCTTGATCTCTTAATTTTATCTTCCTCATAACGAGCTTCTTTTTCTCTGAATGTGGATGACGTTGGCAGCACACTCATTTTCTTATTAAGAATCACAATCCGATTGGTCGCCTATGGTGAACTGGTGAACAGGATGATAGCTTATTGGTGAGTGGTTTCCATTGCTCAAATACTGTCTTGCTCCACCCTCCTTACAGGGAATCAGAGCACAGCCTGCAGTGGTCTCATTCTATATATGTGAACAGCCTTTCTGAGTTCAAAATGCTTATAGCGTCTTAGTTAGTTGAGCACTACGTAATGTCATACATGTCTCTCAGGCTTCCGACCATGGACCTCATTGATCTTGCAAGCTCCATTTTGGAAAAGCTTCATGCTCCAAGGTGGTGGTGGTGGTGTTGCTCTTTACCAACCAAGTGAGTGCAACCATATGCTCTTAAACCTCCAGCTGTTTAATCTGACTGAACAATTTGCAGACTATCCCTATAATTGAAAGACTGTTGTTTCGTCTTCCATTTGCCTTCCCCACCCCTCTTCCTCACTTGCCTTTTCTACTATAATGAAACAAATTCCAGGAGATAAATTACTTTGCTCTGCAACCTGCTTGGAGTTTCATCTCCAATTGACGGTGACAAGTGACAACTATGTTTTTCGAAATATTTGTTTGTTTTGGGCAAGGGTAAAATAAATAGTCCTCCAGCTGCAGTTCGAATGGATTCCCTGAAACCCAACCCACCAATACTATTGATTTAGTCGATAGCAAATAATCTTCCAATTAAATAGCCAAAGACAGTTCATGTTGTTGTTGTAATCTTGCTGATCATTCCCTTCAAATGCCCTTTACCACCTGTTTTGGTTTCTATTCTTTCATCCTAGCTAGATATAGCCATCTATTATTTGATAAAAACACGTTCAGGGGGGTCGATAGTTGGCAGATTGTAGCATCCAATTTCATGGAAAGATCCTATCTATTTTTACTGGGTATATCGTACAAGAGGCAGCTAGGGAAGTAGAGGGGAGTGAAAAAAGGACCCTAAAATCAGTTTAGCAATGTGCAAACCCTACCTCGTGATCCTTTAATCACCATGTAATTTGCTTCCCATAAAAAAGCCATTTAATTAATTTGAACTGTTTCCTTGAAAATCGTGTAATTTGATGATTGTAGATTTCGTACCTTTGAATTGGTTATGGTCCTTATGGAACTGGTATAAAATCAGCCTTTTGTCCCATATCCTTTTTTTAAAGTACAAAAAAGAATGGTAAAAACCAACCAGAGGACTCGAAAGAGGCAGTTGAAACAAGTACTTTCCACCCATGTCACCCTTTGCTTGACTTGGACTCATACACCATTTGTTCTTTCTTTTCCTTTTCCTTTTTTTTTTCCCTCCCTTTGGGAATGGAATTTTGATCTCTGAGTAGGGATAGCCCGCCCGGCCCCGTCCCCGTCCTTAAAAAATTTTCTTCATCCCCACTCCGTGCTATAAACAGGGATTCTCATCCCCGCCCCTCCACGCCTCGCTCTTAAAAAATTTTTTGTATCCCCGTTCCAAATGAAACGTAAACGAGATAAAAATTATTATTTTTTATTTTTATCTTATTTTATTATTAAATTTTAAATTATAACAAAAAAATAATAATTTATATAAAAAATAAATTTTAAAAGTCATTAATTATAAATTTTATATAAAATATAATTATAATTTTAATAAAAAAAAGGACAAATAGGATAAAACAGGACGAGGCGTCGGTCAACATGAGAAACTCTGCTTTGATCGAGAAAAATTGATACGGGGTGGGATGCAGCTGTGTTGAGGTGGGGTAAATTGCCATTCCTATCTATGAGAAGTCAGAATTGTGAAAAGTTAAGCAAATGGTATTGTTAATCCGTTTCTCTCGTTTTCATTTCTATTGTTTTTTCTTGCTTGCCGGTGGTGCTAAAATACAATTAGCTTTTGGTTTGACGGGCGTGACGAGACTCTTATTATGGCAGGAGACTGGGTAGAATTCGAGAAAAATAGAGTTGTTTTTTTCTCTCAAATAAAAAGATAGCAGATGAATATAATTCGGAATTTATCTAATTATTTTTTTATTCAAAAATAAATTTATAGTAGCTTCCACGTTTAGATAAAAATATAAGAAGTTCTGGACATATCTAGTACACAATTTTTATAGTGGACTCCACGTTTACTTTGAGATAAAAATATAAGAACAGTAGATTTCACGTTTACTTAAAGATAAAATTATAAGAAGCTCTACACATATCTGGTAAATTTTTTTTTTTTTTTTTGAAGAGTGTTTTTATCTTGTCCTTGTGCACCAATCACTGGTAACTTATGGTTGCTTAGAAAACATTATTTTTGTCAAAGCATATCCACTTACTGATAAAAAAAGTTTTGCAATTAGATGGAGTAAATTATAAATTAGTTTTTTTAATTGGCTAAACAAATTAAATAGTCTTTTTTTTTATTTTAAAAGATAATTAATTATTTTTTTAATTTTAAAGGTAATTAATTAGTTTATTGATCAATATTAATCATGATTAATTTAATATTATTTTAAAAAATATATATTTTCTCTACTGATCCTTCTACATATATATATTTTTTATTTTTTAATACAAAAATAATTGAAAAAACAAAAATAATAAAGTTACAAATAAATATAAAAATATAAAAATTAATTAATTAGTTTTTAAAACTAGAAGGATTGTTTAATTTGTTTTTTAAAAAACTAGAGGGACTAAGATATAATTTACTGTAATTAGATGTCTGTTTTATAAGTTTTCAAGTATTTTGAAGAAGCTGCTAATGGTGTTCGTAAATCTGGTCATTTGACGATAAATTTGCCTTGAAACATCATTTTATTTAAAAAATTTTGTGAAAATCAAGCATTCCTTCTTGTCAAAAATAGGAAAAGATGAAATTTAATTACTACTATTATTTCATTTTTGTTTAATGGGAAAAAATGGACTTTCATTTCTAAAATAATTATTTATTATTTTTGGTCAAAGGAAGAAAGAAAGGAAGGAAGAATACAATCTGTGGGCATGATGTTACTTAGCTGACTTTGATCAATCAAAATGACAATAAAAAGAAATGTTCATTAATAGCAAATTAATGTTAAAAGGTATCAAAAATTAAGAATCTCGTGATGATGATGATGATTGATAATTAATGGAAGTAAAGATTAGGTGGGTCCCATGTTTTCATTTTCAAGTCCGCCCTTTTTCATACCTTTATTATAAAACTTTATGAACAAATAAACTCTTTTTTTTTTTTTGGCCTTTTTTCAAAAAAACAAGCAAAAAAAAAATCTTTTAAGAAAAAAGAGAGAGATATTTAGCAAATAGCTGTTGATCTCTCCTTTTGAATCTCTCCTATATTTGCTCTCTTTCAGCCATGTAATGTGTATAAATAAATTGTGTTTCATTTTCTTTCAAACTCTTTGGGTTGTTTTTTGGTTTGTTTTTTCTTTTTTTACAGCTCTTTCTCTTCCTCTCTCTATCTTTAAACCCATTTTTGTACTTCACTCTGCTCTTTCTTTCAACAAAAATATACAAAACCCTCTTCTGTTTTCAGCTTCTAGAGTTGGTTTAGATGTATGGTAGAGTTTTGTGGTACGGGTTTTGTTTTAATGGATCTGGGTGCTGTGTATTTTTATGTTTTGCTTTCGCTCTTTTGATTGGTTCCTCGTCTAAATGTAGAGCTATCACTTCAGTGCTTATTGAGTTTGATTAAATCGTATTCCATTCTCGTATTTCTGATTTTAGGCTGTAACTTTTCTGTTAAAAAGTAATCTGTAAAAGCAAAAAAAAAAAAAAAAAAACTGTGATCCTTTGCTATCATTTCTGTACTAGTTGCTTTTACATAAATCTTTGTTGGTTTTTGTGTTTTCAGTTTTAGATTTTGGGTTTTGTTTCTTCTTACAATTGTTTTAAACAGTTTCAAGGGTTTTTTTGTTTCAATTTCATTTTCGGTTTTTTTTATTTCATTTTTGTTTTTTGAGCTAGCTGGTTGTTGATGTGTCAAATTTGGTGACATTTTAAGGGAATTAGTAGGATTGATGAGTGTCTGATTACTGTGGTGGACTTTGTCAACCTTCACCTGACTTCAATTTATGCAGGTGAAAGAAAATTTTCCAGTTTCAACTATATGTTATGCTATTTTGCTTTCAACTCTATGTTATGTTATTCTACTTTTTTATCTGTTTGTGGTAATGCTATTTTTTTTTATCTGCTTGTGATATTAATTTGAATATCCAATTAAAGGAAAGAAATGGAAGGCTAAACAATTGAGCATTGTGCTGTAATTGACTTGGAATTTTCTGGAAATTGAATATAGTGAGGGAGGGGCCAAATGTATTAATTTTACGCGTAGATGAAATGAGGGTTTCGTGTAGAGAATCTTCGCAAAATTGTCGTATTAGCGTAGTCAATAATATCTCATTGGCTCTGATTAAAAGATTTTTGGTTTTGACTTAAATGCTTCTTAATCTGCAAAAAGTTGCTCGGATTGCGTGGATATGTATTTGTGTTGAATCAAGGCCATCAATAAATGTTTAGTGGTGTACATTATTGTCTGGACTTCACCTTTTATTTTATCGTCTTCGTTGCATCCAAAAACGGCAATTTATTCTCCTCGCTTTGATTCGCTCTTTATGGTAGCTACCTTTTTTCTGATTTGAAATGACCTGTTTTGAGCTTTATTTAAGTTGTCATAGTTCATCTGTTCAGGCATATTCATGAGATGAGCAGCATGATGAATGGGAGTGAGGACAGTAAGAGGTCCAAGGGTCATCGAAATTCGCCTGCAGCTGATGAAGTTGATGCTGGGGGAATGATGGGTGGAATTACTCCTTTGAAGAAAGGCCCATGGACCTCTGCAGAAGATGCTATTTTGATGGACTATGTCAAGAAGCATGGAGAGGGGAATTGGAATGCTGTCCAGAAGCACTCAGGGCTCTTTCGATGCGGAAAAAGCTGCCGTCTGCGATGGGCGAATCACCTACGACCAGATCTGAAGAAGGGTGCATTCACTCCAGAGGAAGAGAACCGCATCATTGAACTCCATGCTAAGATGGGAAATAAATGGGCTCGAATGGCTGCAGAGGTTGGTAACTGTGTTCCTGATTTAAAGATTTTTCTAACAAATGTGCTATCACTTAATTTTTTTTTTAAATTATGTTATGTGAATTGTCTTGATATATCTCACTTTGTTCATGGAACATAGTAATGATCTGATGTTCGATTTTTTGAATGTGCACTGTATAGCAAATATACAAATCAAGTGGCATGGATATGGCAATGATAGGAATGGATATAGTTACAAACATATGTATATATACAAACGCATGTTCATAGTTAGACAACCACCCTCATTCTTGATAAATTTTTTAGTGTTTTTTTTGTGATTCTAGCTCATTGCATGCAGGATTTGATAGAACGCCTTGTCTGCCTTTTTTTCACCTCTTTCCCTCTGTGTGTGCGCACGCAGCGCGTGTTTATACACAATGTAGGATAGGAAGAAGAATTTGGAAGAGAGAGAAGAAATAGGGAGGAGAAGAGAAAAGAAAAGGTGTGGTGAAAATCAGAAAATAATACTAGAGCTATGACAACTTGATAAAGATTCTTCATTTGTTATCAACTATAAAAAGGCTTCCTCAAAGGAGTGATAAACTTTCCTTTGTAGGCATCAACCCTTCATAGACCTTAAAAGATGAGAAGTACCGCCAAAAAAAAAAAAATTACTATGTTAAAAAATAGCTAGAAAATGGTAGAAAATTAAATCAATTACTATCTAGGAAATAGAATTAAATACTTAAGAAATAAAATAAAAACATAAGATTTGAAATAAATCTTCAATTATTCTTACGGCTTTGGAACAGGATGAGAATGTATACCAAACAAACAGAAGGAATAGGATAGTATAAGAATAGTGTTTTATCACCTATTTTGGTACTTAGACAGATATCTGTTCAATCTTTTATGTTTCAGATGTCTTGGTTACAATATCAAAAGATTTCTTTTTTCCAATTCAATGCATGTTGCATTAGGGTAAATGATTCACTCTAATTAGTTATGGAGATATCTGCAGAGTACATAATTTGTCAAGAATCAACACCAAGTGCAAAACAAATTTAGTGATAAAAAAATAGAGTAACTTTCACTATTTTTATATTTTCTTTGGGCATCTTTCTTTTTTGGAAATATTGCTGGTTTTTCACCTCATATATTAATCTTAAAAATTATGTTGCCATCTCAGGGATTCATATTTTTTCTGATCTTTTTGATCCCAGGAGCTGCATTATTTTTGGCTTAGTGTCTTATAAAGTAACTTATATTTAAATCTTTTTCTTTTTTTTTCAGTATTAGAAAAGCTGTTTGTTGAATACATGCTCTGTCAGCATTATACTTAATCTTCAAAAAGAATCAAAACCTCTTATGTATATTCCACATCATATTATATTGCTTTCGATCAGCATCAACTGAATTCATTGTTTAGGACATTATTTTCTTTGAAACAGATGCAGCAGAGCCTTGCTTTTGTTACTGCTTCATAATTACTCCTTACGATCAGTTTGCATTTTGGGGCAACTATTATCTTTTATGTGATATGAGTAAGACTGCATGATGGTGTATCTCTCTTTTTTGTGAAGTAACAATGCCCAGATGAAATTACAATTTGATAATTTAATATATGCTTGAGTTTTTGTTTCTGTTTGTTCCTCTGATATTGCTATCCACTCATATGATAGTGTTGTAGGCTGGCAGCATATTTCATAGTATGTTAAGCAAAATCTTATACATGGCAGCATTTAGGCAACCAAGGAAGACATGACAAGTTTCTTCCCGTATATTTTCTTCAATACAAACATACATAACCTCAAGTTCTGAGCTTTATTTTCTGTATTGTGCTGCCAAGTTTATGTGTTTATGATTTTTCTTATCCTTGCAGTTGCCTGGACGGACAGATAATGAGATAAAGAACTACTGGAATACGAGAATAAAGAGACTGCAACGTGCTGGCTTACCAATCTATCCTCCTGAAGTTTGTCTGCAACTATATAACACGATTCAAGATGGTCAAAATATGGTCTCATTGCAAACAGGGGGCACACAGGATCCTGATCTGATGCAGACTGATCATTTTAGGATTCCAGAAGTGGAATTCAAAAATCTGGAACTCAATCGAGGTGTCCTATCTTATTCATCGAGTCTTTTTGATACTTCTGCAAGCAGCACGCTGAAACAAGGTGTCGGCTCATCGTATGGTAATGGTCTTGTGTTCCCGACACTTCATCCTGCCAAACGCCTTAGAGAGTCACAGACCATATTCACTGGTCTTGATGGTAGTGCCTGTAGGGGAATGCCAGTGTTCGATCATTTGACAGATTATCCTTGTGGAAAGATTACAGAGAACTTTGGGTTATCTTCCCCATATGATTCTGATTTGAGCACCTATGACCAGCCATCATGGGGCATTCTTCCTGGCAATCATGCCATATTAAATGGCAACCCTTCTTCTTCTTCTTCTTCTGAGCCCATATGTGGGGCCATGAAGATGGAGCTCCCTTCACTCCAATATTCAGAAACTCAACAAGATAGCTGGGGTACACCAGCTTCCCCGCTGCCTTCACTTGAGTCTGTTGATACTTTAATTCAGTCTCCTCCAACCAAGGAGACACGGTCAGATGGTCAGTCGCCACGAAGTAGTGGTCTCTTGGAGGCAGTACTCTATGAATCACGAACTCTGAAAAACTCCAAGAAATGTTCAGGCCACCAAACTTCAGATGCTTTTCTCACACTTGGTGACGGAGTACGTAGTTCACCCTTGAATCCCTCCACAACAGAATGGGAAGTACATGCTGAGCTTAACTCTCCTTCAGTTCATTCAGCTTCCTCATTATTCAGTGAGTGTACTCCTGTCAGTGGAAGCTCATCGGATGAACGAGGTGAGAATATTAATGATCACATTAACCTCTTGGGATTTCCAGTTTTACTAAAGAACTTTCTCTTGTGTTTCTTGTAGCATATAATGTTAAGCATGAACCAATCGATCAGGTTTTGACCCCATATGTTGAAGCGAGAGAAGTTCCCAATCAGACTGACTGTAACAGGCCAGATGTTTTGCTTGGCTCAGCCTGGTTTGGACCTAGCAATAGATGCCATAAGGACCAATTTTTTCAGACTGATGATGTAGCGGCACTTCTTGGTGGAGATCAACAGTGAACAGTGAGTACTAGCAAACGTTTTCTATAAATTGTAACTGCGGCTGGGAAAAGTGTAATGGCCTTGTTGGCTTTGACGTCATTGAAATTTGATTCTCTAATAACCTTCACAATCTCTGTTATCATTCCTCAAAGGCTTCTTGAGATTTTGTGACCTTCTTGGTGTTATGCTCGTGCTCATCTTGATTATTCCCTTCTTCAGGCGTTCATCTTAGGTAACCAGACATGAAACATTATCCAGCCAAGGCCATATGAATGGAACATCTGTTCTTTCATTATTATTGCAGTTCTGATGTCAAACTTTATGAATCAATTCGTTTCAATATTATTCAAACGTCGTTTTTTCTCTTTTGTTTTTCAATGCTCAATGTACTCTATTTGTGATTTGTGATTCAATTTGAACAAGCACATCCGATCATCAATTTAAAAGCCACAGAACAATGCCTCTACTGTATCCATCTTGTGTTTAATTTACATATCCATATGTATTGGTTTGTTGCTCATGTCATATTGCAGGTCAGACAAAATAAACATTTCAATTTGATACTCACGGTATGTTATGAGTCTATTAAAGCAAATTGAAACAAAGGTAAAATTATAAAAAAAAGAACAAATTTATATAATTTTTTAATCAGATTTTTGTATTTAATTGTTTTTTTTAATGTTTATTATAAATTTTCTATTGAACACATTGATTCTTAAATAAAAACCTATAACAATCTAAATAGAAAAATTAAATCCAAAATTTCTTAAAAAATCTTAATATTTTTCCATAAGATTGTTTTAAAAAAATAAAGATACAGTTAATGTCAAAGCTTGTCTAAAAATTAACAAATAAAAAATAATTTTTTATTTTTATTTAATATTGATGGAAAATTTATTTTTTGAAAGCATGACATTTGATATATATATATATATATATATATATATATATATAACTTGTAAGGAATACATTAAATGAATTTGAACTTAATAGAATGAAATACAAACTATTATAAAATTAATTTCGATAAATTTTGATTATATAGAAAGAAAGCAAATAACACATGTAAAATCTATTTTTTAATTTATTATTTTAATAATGAGTTTTATTTTAATTCAAGACAAAATATCTGAAATATAATTCTAACCTTTATTCTATATATATGTGTGTGTATGCACACATGCGTGTCACTCTTTTTTAAAAATCATGAGAACTCTTTAAATAAATTATATTAATGTATTTAAAAAAAAATCAATTACATTCTAAAATTTTATTCAAAAATCAATTCGTCAACAAAATAAATCATATTTGCTTAACAAATAAAATTATATTAAAATTTTATAATTAGATGTTTTCATAAAAATGACGAATTGATAAAATGATATTTTTCCATTGCCAGACTAAGTAAAAACCCAAAAAAAAAAAAAAAAAGATTATTTCTCCATAAATTTAGCACAAAAAAAAAAAACAAAAAAAAAACCATTAAAAATAAATTGCTGAAAAAAAAAACCAAGCCAGGCCTACGGCTTTGGGCTTGGCTAAAAAAGAAAATAGACTATGCATCATTAGTTGCATACATAGCAAAGGACGTGTCGTCCATCTACAACTTACAACGAACTTAAGTTCGCTAGAAATTTCAATGAACAAATAGATTTTTTTAATTTTTTTCAATCCAAAAATCCAACTGATGCAATATTTTTGCTTCAAAACACTTTGAAAATACTGAAATGGGGCCAACAAAAATATTTAAAACCTTAAAACTCATTTTTATACACATTAAAAAAATAAAATTAAATTCAAAAGCTCATAATGTTTTGAGGTCTCGGTCTACCTCTTCTAATTATTCATATCTTGAAACCACTACAAACAAATTTTATTCTCTAAAATAAACAAATCGAATGAAGCATCATTGATCAAAATGGCTAGAATAGACTTGATCACATGTTATCTCTCTTCTCCTTTCTATTTGCTCGTTTCTCTCTCTTTTAGGGACTAATGTGTGTCATAAATGTAGTTGTGATTCAAAATAAAAGATTTAAAAATATTAGGAACTAAAGTGTAAATTTTGGTTTAATTCACATGTAATTGCCTGAAAAAAGCACAAAAATTACAAAAATATCATACTTGAGTCCAAAGTCTGCATGAGTCTTAAACTATAGTAAATGAATAGTAAAATATATCAAATATTTTGGGTTGTTTTATATATATAATGTTCGAGCAAATTTTTAGGTATATTAAAAAAATAAAAATCAAAGGAATAAAAAAAAGCGTTATTGGTTCTTTTGTTTATGGCTTTTAACATTGACATCAACATAAAAGAAACTCTGTTAGCAATGGTCCTACAAGGTGAAGAATTACAATTCAAAAAAATAATAATAATAATAAAAAAAGTTGAAGGATTTACTACTATTCAAGTTTTTATTCATCTAGACTTAAGTGTATCATTCACATAGAGTTATGTGCATTATTTACTTTTACTATGTAGTGGTATTTTTGTGATTTATAGCATATTTTTGGGTTTTTATTTGTGAGTTTTACCCGATGTTGTACTTTGGTATTTGATATTTTCAAAAGATTTTTTTTTGGTCCACAACTTTAGTATTATAGTTTGATCCATGCATAAAGAGAAGGGAGGGAAACGAAGAGGGAGACGAGAGGAGAGAGAGTCAAGATCAACCTTAATTTCAACCCTTTTTTACAACCAATTTTGCTTTAATATTGTTTATTTTGTTGAGGAGATGTGTTTATGATGGTTTCAAGTTACAAAATAGTTGAAGGAGGTAAATTGGAGCTCATAAAAATTTAAATTTTCTTATTTGATTTTTTTTTTTTTTAGTTTTTAATGTGCTCATTGAAATATTTTTAAAAAAATTTCAAATGAGTTTATTGACTTTATTTCAGTAATTTTGAATTGTTTTGGAGGGCAAAAAACATGCTGAAAATGAGAGTCAAAGGTTTGAGACTAGACCCTTAATTTTTCAACGACTATTCTGGCAACACTTCCACCGAATTTGAGTTTGTTAGAAGTTTATAGGTGGGCGACACGTCGTCTATTTTTATTAAAAAAAAGGCACGTGGACCTACCTTGATTTTTTTTTCCTTTTATTTTTTTTCTAGAAACTTTTTTATTTTTGAATTGGGAGCAAAAATTATAGAAAACCAATCGTTATATTTTTTGGTTTTCTATACAAGCTGAAAGTGATGAAAGATGTATGATATATTTTTAAATTTCGGAATGAAAATATATATCGAATTATATTATTACTATTGTTTAAAATTGATTTCTTCAATTTATCATTTTTTATGAAAATTCTCAATAAATTTATTATTTTATTTTTATATAATTTTATTTGTTAATCAATATGATTTTATTTTTATCTATGTATCGATTTTTGAATAAAATTTCAGAACATGAATATTTTATTTTTTAAAAATATATTAATATAATTTACATGATGGATTCTTATGATTTTTTAATGATTGTATTAAAAATTCTCATTAAATTTATTTTTTATTTTCTTTTTTATATAATTTTATTTGTTAATCAATATGATTTATTTTTCTCTATATATGGATTTTTGAATAAAATTTTAGAATATGAATATTTTTTTAACATATATTGATATAATTTACATGATGGATTCTTATGATTTTTAAATAATTGTCTTGAAATGTTAAAATTCTATTTCAGATAATCTATTTCAATTTTTTTTTTTGAAAACAATTAAATAACCAATAGAAAAAATAGAATTCACATGTTTTGTTTTCATCTTTTTTAGATTATCAAAGTTTGTCAAAATCAAATATGTAGTTGTTTTTATTTCAATTTATTAAATTTAATATATTTCTTATAATTTTTTTTAATATTTTTTAATTTATTCTATACATTCGAAACCCACTAAGTATGATCATGTTGTATAAAAGAAAATTAGGATCATTGGTTTTGTTGAAAATCAATTATGCTTTTACACACGTAATATAACACCAATCATTTCTATTAATATATTTTAATAAACCAATTTCTTTCAAATAAAATAATTAAAATATTTTTTAAGAAAAACCAATTAATGATTCAAATACAACTTTTTTAATGCTAATATTATTGATTGTTTTGTGAATAAATTTATATAAATCAAATGTATATATTTTCAAAGAAATTATCTTCTTATCAACATTAAATAAGATTGAAAATAATAATTTGTTTATTTTTATATAAGTTTTTATATTTATTTTTTCTTTATTTTTCTCTACAATCTTATGAAAAAAAATATATTAAGGAATTTTTTAAATTTTGGATTAAATTTTCTATTTAGATTATTTCAAGTTTTTATTGAAGAATCGATGCATAAAGAAAAAACAAATCAAAATTTTTTTAATTATATAATTAATAAAAATTAATTAATTACAAAATTTTGATTAAAAATTAGATGAATTTTTTAATCTTTATTTCAAAATATTTAAATAGACTCACAATATAATCCATGCTATCAAATTAAAATAATTTTTAAAAATTATTTCACTTGTTATGCTCTATCCATAGCGTAGCTCATGTTGCAAACTAAATCTCTTTAATTACACAACAATAGAGATTTTATTTATTTTATTTTATTTGTATTTTTGGCATAGTAAACCTACTATTTATATTATCATAGAAAATAAAATCCCAAAAGAATCATAATTTTTACAATAGGGATTACTTACTATACTAATTTTTTAAATAAATAAATAAATAAAATTATGGAAAGTAATCATTTTTTTAGGCTGTTTGAATAATAAAAAAACCAACCATTAATTATTAGGAGAAAAATTCATATTGAGAAAATATTAAATAATGAAAAAAGAAAAGAAAACTAGCTTGTGTGTCACGTTAGCTCTTTTCTAAACTCGATCTTCTTTTTTCAATCACTTAAGGCGTCAAAACCATCACCAAAAAACTCTCTTTATGAAGATAAATACATAGACACCAATATTATCTAATTACATGCTTGAATTTCGGTTCGTCAAAAATTTCTCTCTCC